ATAAAAATCTGTATAGAGATTTTGTGGTATAAAGCCCTTTTTCATCTAAGGGGCTTAAGCGTTTCTACCCCTGTTTTGAAGTGAAATGGTGATTTTGCCCTCGTTTTTCTAACTTTGTGATTTTACCCCTGTGATTTCAAAACGAAGGCAGACTTTATCCCTGCTCTGTCAAGTCCCTCTAATGGTGTTATCTTTTGAACCAAAGGACAACTTTGCGCAAGCATTTTTTCCCTGTTTTATTTTGATATCTGTGTTTTTACCCCTATTTTCGATCAGCAATTTGACAATTTTGACACAGAATTTACAATTTCAATCAGTACAAAACTCAACAATTTTTAGAAGAACTATGATCATGGCCGTGCATTGCTACGGGAAATAATGCCACCGTCCCAATGAAAAAATTTGCAGCAGCTGCTAAAGCACCATCAGTAGTGTTTAGCAGTGTCTCTACAGAAGTACAGATTGGTCATGTTTTGAGCACCTATGTCCCTAAGCATCGCTCATCTACAAGCAAATCGCCTAAAACCATCAGGGAATCAGACAGTTGATGGACTAAAATCGTAACTGAGATGGGAGAAGTTCTACAGACCATCAATGTCCATTGTGCCTTGTGTGCATTTATATGAGGAAAATGCAAATTTGAGTATACCAATCTGGTGAACACCTACAAGGCTGCAACCTGGGCTTGTAGTTCATTCTTGTGTGCATTTCATCGAGCAGCTTGAGGGCGTCTAGCAACCTAGCTACCTTTGTTGCAGTAACCACTGATCCTACGGCAATACGGCATCAGGCACGAAGCGTCGTATCATGACTTCATGGTAGAAGAGGTGTCGAAGGACGTACCAGTGGTGTCAAAAACGTTGCTTCCGCCATTCGCACTCCGCTGCCAACACGTCACACTAGTAGAGAACAGACCTTTCATCCGAGGTCAAAATGGGCTCTAGTCCCAGCATTTTTTGCGCCCGGGACTAGAGAGACCTTTAGTCCCGGTTGGTGTCTCCAACCGGGACTAAAGGTCCCTGCCCAACGGCTACTGCGCTCGGCACAGTGGCAGGGGACCTTTACTCCCGGTTGGAGCCACCAACCGGGACTACAAGTCCTCCAACCTTTAGTCCCAGTTGGTAACACCAACCGGGACTAAAGCGTGACCTTTTAGTCTGGGTTGATATTACGAACCGGGACTAAAGGTCTCCCACCCGGAACTAAAGGTCCCCCACGGGTCAATTTAAAAGTAGGAGCGGGGAGGACTATGTCACATGTGGTGTGCAGTTGAGTTGGTAAGGAATCTACGCGTGATGAGAGAGGTCTTGTGTTCGAATCCAGCGCAAGCGAGGTCTCAAGGAATTCGTTTATTTTTTTTAACTGAGGAGGGGGTTTTACTCCCGGTTATTGATCCGGGACTAAAGAGTCTTCCCTTTACTCCCGGATTCTTACTCCCGGTTGGGAAACCAGGATTAAAAGGGGATCCCAACCGGGAGTAGAAGCCTTCTCTCCATCTTCAATCGGGGGCAGCAGACTGCTCCAATCTCAGAATTTGATGAATATGCCTGGGTTCTTCCATGGTGGCCAGGAGTTATCTCGGAGGTGGCCAACTGGAGCTGTTGCTGCTGCTGTGGGCACGAGCCTAGGGGTGGGGCGGCGGGCGAGGCCCCAGCCACACCGCTGAAGGTGCTAGCCGTGGGTGGAGTGGGGCGGAGGGAGGAGGTGGCAGCCGGGAGGACTTCGCCGCCGGGAGCCGCCAAACCCTAACACGCGAGTCGTGTCCTCTTGTTTGGGAATGGTTTGAGCGAGCGATTGAGAAAGGAGAAAGGGAAGTTTCTCAGGGGTATATCATTGTCTTTTCCCCTTTGTGACTTTTCTTTTTTCTTTTTTTTGCCATTCAATCCAACCATTTCAGACGGGTGTTACAGAGTAGGGGCAAACGGGAGCTTCGTTTGAAAAAAAAACGAGGGTAAAATCACAAAGTTAAAAAAGAGGGGCAAAATCACCATTGGAGTATGGAGTAGGGGTAGAAACACCAAATTCCCTTTATCTAAAGCCCAAGTAATAGAATCAATAGTATTGGGATTTAAGGAAGTTTGCTGAAGTTGACTATGTAGCTTCACTATCTGAAGTTGATATTTGTGGTTATCACAACTACAAAAATGTTTTCTGAGGTAGTCGAAAATGACTTTCCGAGGCAGGCATCTCAACTACCTCCAATCAAAGGTCATTGTTAGTCATGATTTAAGGAGGCAGTACAATATGCCCGTCTCAGCTAATCAAAATAAAAAACAAAAAAGCCCAGACCCAGTAATAGGTCTGGGCCCAACATCATGACGCTGCCGCCGCTAGCTGGACCTGCACGCCGTCACCGGATCCGCATGCCCCGTCGTCGGATCCACATCCCTCGCACCAGCTAGATCCACCGCCGGGGACCGTACCACCGCTGCCAAGCCCGCTCCTCGCCGGATCCGCATACACCGCCTCCTCTCATCGCTGGATCCGCATGCCCCGCCCCTGGATATGCGTCCTCTCCTCGAGCATACGTGCTCCCTCGCCATTGCCTGGAGGGGGCCTGGGAGCGTGCAGCCACCGCCGGGATGGTAGAAGGTAAAAAAGAATGCTAGTTAAATAGGTATTGATTAACATAAATGCAGCAGCTCAAGACAACAACTTCCCTCTCCATCTAGCAATCCTCTTAAGGATTTTATCCACTAAAGGCTGTACATCTTCTCTACACAGATTTTCAAAGTGTAGTGGTACTCCCAAATATTTCAAAGGGAAGGACCCTAAAGGACAAGAAAAGATATGAGGTAATCTGTGTTCCTCATCTGGTCCTAAATTCATGGGAACTAACTCAATTTTATGAAAGTTAACCCTCATACCAAACACCTGTTCAAGCCACATTAAAATGCACTTGAGGTTTCGAAGAGCAGACTCATCAGCTTTGGAGAAAAGGATGGTCTCATCTGCATACTGCAGAGACAAAATGTCACCTAACCTAAAGTCCTATAAGATGCCCTTCGCTAAACCTCTACTTGCAGCTTTAACTAGTATTTTTGAAAAACCACACCAACCAGATGAAACATAAAAGAAACAAAAGGTCTCCTTGCCTAAGGCCCTTCCATGTTTTCAAATATGAGCTATCCGCTCCACTCACCATAAGGCCAATAGAACCACCAGTAACTATCTGTTTGATCCACCCTGCTATCAACATATGATCAATTTTTTTTTATCTTTTATCATATTAAACAGAAGCTGCCAATTGACTCTCTCATATGATTTCTTATAGTCCAACTTAAGTAGAATACTTGGTTCTTGACTCTTTTGAATACTATGCACTAATTCATGTGCCACTACTATGCTTTCAAAAATAAATCTTCCCTTCATAAAAGCGGACTGATTTGATGTTACAATCCTCTGGACTAGATTCCACAGTAACTACAATTCAAGAGACTGATAGGTCTACAATGTTTCATATTAGTTGCCTCACATACTTTGGGAATCAGAGTCACTAAAGGAAAATTAAGTCTATATAAATCTAATGAACCTTTATGAAAATCTTGAAACAAAGCAACTATATCCCCTTCGACTACATTCCAAAACTTATGATAAAAAAGAAAAGGTAAGCCATATGGACCTGGTGCTCCCTCAGCATAACAGCTAAAGACAGCATCTTTTATTTCAGATTGAGTAAAAGGAGCAATTAGAAGTTCATTCCCCTCTCTAGTTCCTTGATCTTCTAAATCCCAAAAAATTGGGGCTAATCTTCCTCCAGAGTCTTCCTCCTTTGCAAAGAGTTTCTTATAAAACTCTACAACTACCCCATCATACCTTTCTGATCATAGGCTAACCCATTTGGACTAGACAGTCTATTTTCTTTTTCCTACTTCTATGCTTAGCTACTGGTTGAATGTAAGCAGTGTTTGTAGCTCCTTCTAGCAAATCTCTGTCTCTAGATCTCTGCCAAATTTTAAACTCCTCTAGAGCCCAGATCTTATCCAGTTGATCTTCTATCTCCTGTAACTTTATATACTCCTCAGAAGTAAGGTCTCTAAACTAAGCTAAACTCGCCAGTCTAGTAAGCTCTTTGGGAAGATCTACCTTATTTCTATTTAACTCTGCTATCTCATTTGCAGCCCAACCACTAATCATTCTCCTAAAGGTTCTAACCCTAAACTGCCATCTATCTATACTTTTAACACATTACAAGGAACAGTCCAAGCTTTCTCAACCATCTCTGTAAAGGACTATTTCTCTAACCACCATTTCTCAACTCTAAATCTTTTTTTACCAAAAGAGTAAATTGCACGGCCGGTCCTTAAAATATTGGGCTGATTTCGTCTGGGTCCCCAAACTATGAAATCGCACGGTTGGCTCCCCAATCTACTTAATTCTGTCCATGTAGGTCCTAAACAGCCCAGGTGGTGTCAAGCGGTCGACGTGGCTGTCCACGTACGCACGATCTCATCTTCTCCACCTCACTCCTTTCCTTTCTGTCGGACAGACCTCGGGCACGTCCGCCACTGCCTGGAGCCGCGGGATAGCTGGTGGGCGCACGACGCCGCAGCCATGCATGGCGTCGACTGCGTGGAGCAGCACATGCATAGCCTGCTCTAGAGCGTCGTCGTGGTGCTAGAGGCCATCGAGCTTGTCTCGGAGGTCACGGGGTCCGACCCGGACGAGCTCGCCCGGCGGCGGCTGCTATTCGGCAAGGACTACGACAGCGACATGCTAGAGCCGAGGCTGTTTCGGCAGAGGCTCGGCGCGTGGTACCTGGTGACGTGTGAGCTCACCGCCAAGATGGACGCGGCGTGGAAGGACGACTGGTGGTTCCTGTCGCAGTACCTTGAAGAACGAAAGAGCCCGGGCTCGCCAGAGCCGCTGACGCGGAACGAGCACCGGCTAGCCGACCTCCTGACCACGCCGCGCGGGAAGGTGCACCAGCGTCCGTGCTCCTGCAGGGTGACTTCCACGTCTGGAGGCGGCTGGTGGGCAACCTCAAGGAGGTGTAGTGGATGGGGGAGGCCTTCGCGGTGAAGCACTTCGTCGGCGCCGATGCCGTGGGCTCCGAGGCCGCGCTGCTCACCTCCATGGCTCACCCGAATGTGGCTCACTGCCGGTACTGCTTCCACGACGAGGACAAGCGCGAGTTCTTCCTCGTCATGGACCAGCTCATGACCAAGAACCTGGCCAGCCACGTCAAGGAGGTGAACAGCGCCAAGCGGCCGGTGCCCTTCCCACTCGCCATCGTCGTCGACGTGATGCTGCAGATCGCGTGCGGCATGGAGTACCTGCACTCGAGGAAGATCTACCACGGTGACCTGAACCCGTCCAACGTGCTTGTCAGGATGCGGCACAGCGATGCGCCCCTCCATGTCAAGGTCGTCGGGCTCGGGCAATCCACGGCGACCGTGGCCGCCGCCAACCCCTTGCATCTGGTACGCCCCAAAGTTGCTGGAGCAGGATGCGGCCAAGTGCACGGAGAAGGCGGACGTGTACAGCTTCGGGATGGTCTGCTTCGAGCTGCTGACGCGGAAGATCCCATTTGAGGACAACCACCTGCAGGGGGAACACATGAGCAAGAACATCCGCGCCGGCGAGCGGCCGCTGTTCCCATTCCAGGTGCCCAAGTACCTGACCTGCCTCACCAAGTGGTGCTGGCACGGGGACCCGGTGAAGCAGCCGGCGTTCGCGTCCGTCTGCCGCATCCTCCGCTACGTGAAGCGGTCCGTGGTCATGAACCCGGCCCCCACAGAGCAGCCAGACGCGGCGCGTCCTCCTAGCGTGCCGCCGGTGGATTACCTAGACATCGAGGCGAGCCAGCAAAGGAGCCCGGCATGGCAGTCCGGGTCCGAGAACATGGCGCCGCGGGTCTCCGATGTGCCATTCCAGATGTTCGCGTACAGGGTATTGGAGAAGGAGAGGAGCCGGGTGGCCATCCTACACATCGGCGGTGGCGGCGGCGGTAGGGACAAGGCCTCCAACTCCAGCAGCAATAGCAACTCACTGTGCGGGAACGAGAGCGACAACGCGACGCTGTCGGACGCCGATGCTCCCGAGGTGCCCGAGGTCCGTCCGAGAGAAAGGAAAGGAGTGAGGTGGAGAAGATGAGATCGTGCAGGGTTTTTTTTGCTAAAAAGCCTATACCTGCCGAGGGTCACATGTGCCTCACGTGCGTACGTGGACAGCCACGTCGACTGCTTGACACCGCCAGGGCTGTTGAGGACCTACATGGACCGAATTAACTAGATTGGGGAGCCAATAGTGCGATTTCATAGTTTGGGGACCCAGCCGAAATCAACCCAATACTTTAAGGACCGGCCGTGCAATTTACTGTTACCAAAATAAGCATTGTCACCAGCGTTCAAAACGAAGGGGTATGATCACTTGGAAGCCCCTCTAAAGCTTTCGCACTAGAGAGAGAAAAGGTAGCATACCAAGAAGAAGAAACAAAGATCCTATCTATCACTAATACATAAATGATTTTGCGAGACATTGTCCAACCATTAACGCAGGCAGGCACAATAGGTGCTGCCTCTGTTAATGGTCAATGCGGACAAAGGAAAATGCTCGCCTCTGAAAGTCATGGACTAATGGAGGCCGTCTTAGGACGCCCGCCTCGGTAAACCGATTTTCGAAGGTGGGCAATGTAAGATGTACGCCTCTGTTAATCGGTGACTTTTGGAGGTGGACGTTGTAAGCGTCTGTCTTCTAAAATCAATTTATGGAGCCAGTAGTGAACGCTCGACGTCGAACACACTACAGAAACCATCTTCTAACACAACTTTGCAGCCTCCCTCCTCTAGTTGGCCTAGACTGACAATATTGCTCTTCAACTTGGGAATGTAATAGACTTCAGTCAATACCTTGTGGCCGTTCGGCTTTGTTTGGAGCATCACCGATCCAATGCCCTCGATCGTGATGAATGATCCATCGCCGAACCACACCTTGCCACCGATAGACACATCCAGCGACACAAGTGCGTCACGCCGCCCGGTCATATGGTTACTGGCCCCGGTGTCTAGGACCCAGACATCATCGTCTTCTTCACGATCGGTAGGGAACACCTTCTTCTCATTGAGGTGCATGACTTGTCGCATCACGCTCACATCTGATGACGTGACGTTGCACGGCTGGATGCGCACGGCGTTCACCGTCACCAGCAGCAGCGACGGCTGTTCGGAATCCACCTGCACATGATGCGCCTCCTCCTTGCGCTCCTTCCAACGTGGCTTCTTGCAGTCTCCTTCCAGTGGCCGTAGATGCCACAGTTCTTGCAGTGCCCTTTCCGCCTCGGAGTGCCCTCAGACGTGAGCTTGATGACGGGCTCTTTCTTGTCGCTGCGCCCGCCGCTCTTGTTCTTGCCCAGAGTGTATCCGGACTTCTCGCCTCCACCGGATGATGAGGATTCTGGGAGGAGACGATGGCGGTTCCTCGACACCCATTCCTCCTCCGTGAGCATGAGCCTACCGGCCTTGTCGGTGATGGACTCGATCTCCATCCGGTCCTCGACCATCCTGAGATGACTGACGAGTTCCTCCAGCAATAGTTGCTTCAGATCGAGTAAAGTCTCGATCGAGATCATGATCTGGGCGTAGCGTTGAGGTAGAACGCGCAGCATCTTCTTCACCACTTTGGTGTCCTCCACGGCCTCACCGAGGGTGCGCAGATCCGCCGCCAGGGCGTTAATGCGCATCACGAAGTCGTCCACGAACTCACCCTCCTTGAAGGCGATGTTCTCGAAATCCTTCAGGAGACGCAGGGCGTTGGCCTCCTTCACACGTTCAGCTCCAACGCGCATGCTTTTCACCGCCTCTCACGCCTCCTTCACCGTCTTCTTGGCCCCGAGCATCTGCCACATCTCCTTCGGGACAAAGCGGAGGAGGCACCCCATCGCCTGCCTGTCGTGCGCTTTCTTGACATTGGCGCCGCCGGGCTCGATCACCTCCCATATCTCCATCGCTTCGAAGTTACGCTGCATCAACATGGCCCACTCGGTGTAGTTGGATCGGGTGAGCATTGGCCACATCAAGGAACTCTCCTTGACGCCGCCCTCCCTGACGCCGCCAGGTCCCGTGCTCGATGACCCGATGTCACCGGCCATCTTCCTCGACTCCGGTGTTCTGCGTGGGATCACGCGTTTCTTCCTCAGCGGCTCTCGCGGTGGGCTCACGGAACCACCGTAGAACGTACAACGTGGCTCTAATACCAGATGCTGGCGCCGGCTGTCGGAATGGCTGGACCGATGGCGATCTACAATGCTCCGGCGTCCGCGCTCACCGCGGACATGACATCGCTTACCCTCTCAAAGTCGCAATCACAGAGAACTCACGAACACGAGAGAATGGCGCTGCCAAACGTTGCAGCTTTTCTGGTCGTTGTTGTTACTCTTTATTCGCAGTGATTACACGGTCTAAGACCCACGATCTCCCCGCCATGCGCGCTCACGCTGCGTCGTGCCCGCCTTGTGAGCGGGAACGGTTTTTCTATGCGGCATGGCAGCGATCACTCCTGGCCGCACTGTGAACGCAGCACGGTTCTGGCTTACACACCGCTCATCTCACATGCAGCTAGCTATTCTTAGGAATGTAAACATGGAACTAAAATGTAGTACCTATTTACAAAATGATCAAAGAATGCACGAGATTCATTTCAACACGCTATGGGGAGTCCCGCCGGCCTGCTCCGCGTCACAGTGTCTACTGTCTCTCGGCTCGAGGCAAGCCATGGCGCAACTGTGGAAAGTGCCCAGCTGCCCGCCTTGCCATCATGCAAATGCCACGGCGTGCAGTTCCATGCTGTGGCCCTCCTGTACGCGCCACGGCCTTGTATGGCTGAAGTATCGCATGCAGCGCCGCGAGCGGATCGCCAGGTCTCGTGCTTGCCATCACTTATTACCTAGCTGGAGTGTTGCCAATTGGGTATGGCACATTTATTTATTTTTCAGCAAAGCCTTTCAGACAAAGTATTCAGAACAACAAAAGTACTAACCCCTAATATAGATGCTTTTAGAACACTTCTGTAGCTGCAACCAATAGATCGTTTCACTGAAAAGGTTAGCTAAAAAATAGCATTTTCCATTTCTCGATTTAATTTGATTAGCTCCCATAATTTTTACTTTTACTGATCCCACTTCCGGCCGGCTTTACAGAAGCTCAAACTTGCTCCAGCTTATAAATGCAAAACAAGGCTGTTCATTCACTCGGATTGATTTGTGGTAAGTTCATTCTGCACCTACACGCACTTAAGCAAATATTAGTTATATAACATATTAATCACATTGATCAACCATTTGCTGCGATTAACAGGTACAAGACACCACATTCCTTGTACTGATGAAACCTACAGAATTGAGTTTACGTTCCTCCAAAACATAGGAACACAATTGATTGGAAAAGAGTTTAGCAGGATCTTTCCCTATATTTAGAACCGGTTATAAAATGAGATTTATGTAGATTAATAGATTTATCATAAACTTTGATCGTAGACCTCTTGCTCCATCTATGACATAGCCATAGGAAATTCGACCAGCGGTGCAGCAGGTGGTCGCGGCCTCGCAGGATAGGTGGCCACCAAGCAATGCGGCGTTCAAAAATGACGACTGTGCCGGTGCGAGGTGGAAGATGAGATGGAGTGGAAGCGCTGTTGATGCCGGCCATGGTTCTATCCAGGCCGGCCCGGGTCCAGCTTCAATTCTGCTGCCCGACCAGGCACATTATTGGCCTCAAGCAAATTTGTTTCAGGCTTCCAACGAAAGAATGAAACAAACAAGGAAGCATGTTATTGCGTTTATAGCAGTATGAATTGCTAAGATTTTTCCTTAGATAATATTTTTCTTACTGATAACAGCCTCTACTATCTTTACTACAACCACCACAACAACTATGTTCACAATGTTTGTAGCCCTGTTCCTTGCCGTGTTCACAATGTTTCTAGCTCCAAAATATATTCCCCCTCTGTTGCCTTGCATGTATATACTGTAACCTACTACACTCACAATGTTCCAAGCCCTGTTGCCATATGAATGGGAATAAGATATAAGAAGAAATGCAAGGCGGTGTGTGAATTGAGCGTTCATGAGCAACGATAATACTTAACCTTCTCTGAATTGCATGCCATTAAGCAATTTGAGCTAACCCCACCGCCTCTTCAATTGTGCAGCAAGAGGTGAGAAGGCTCGTTTTTTCAAACTATTGTCAGCGTTCTTTTGCTCCACAGCTAATATTAAATATTTTTCACTTTTTCATATTTGAAACTATTTTCATGTCCAAAATTTTCTAATATGGGGAAAATGCTTACATTTTGAGGTCAGAGATCGGTATTAGGTACTTCTTTTCCATGCATCTACATAGATGCCCTTTTGGGGCTATAGCAATAGCATCAATCAAAATAGGAGAAAGATGATTCCCTTTTTTTTTCTAAACTTAGACAACAAAGAGTCAAAGACTATTTATTCTAATCTGACATAGAATGGCAATTGGTAGATCGATTACAATACTAATTTACTCCTTACATTGGCTTTGCCTACTCCATGGATGTCTCCTGGCTGATTGGCCATGAAATGAATTACATGGATATTTTTGTTTCCGTACGGTTGACAAGTCATTAACATGGTATTTTTCATAAGAACGTTGTCAACATACAAAGGTAGCAATGCTACAATAGACATCCAAGTTTCTCTTTTTATTTTCTCTTGGTCTGTGTTGATCTTCTATGTAAGATGTACTAGCTGTAATCTCTATCTCTCTAAACCAGAGCCAAGCTCCCGCCACTGATTGGGCCACGTCGCCTCCAATTTCTCGGCCGTCAGATTATGATCGAACCGTCCAACTGCATGCAAATTGGTTGCACTTTTCTAGAGCCGTCTTCGTTCTTCCCCAAGGCCCGAAGCGAAGAAATGCTACTTCCTTATTCCTGTCCTCGTGTCGCGGCTACTAACAGCCCGCCGCACCGCACTGGCTGCACCCAGTTCCCTCAGCCGTCGGATTTTGATTGGGCCGTAGAAAAGCAGGCAAAGGAGCTGGGGCTTCCAATGCTTTCGTGTCGAGCCTGATTCACGGCTCCTCGTTGCCATCGCTGCATCAGCTGTCTCCCTCCACCGTCCGGCGTTG